TTTCCAAGATCTTTCATTTCAAACTCTTTCTTCAAACAGTCTACTGCTTTTGGAAGTTCCTCAGGAGTTCCAATAATATTTAGATCATCAACATACACAGCGATTATAACAAATTCAGATCCAGACCTTCTTATAAATACACAAGGACAAATTGGATCATTCTTATACCCTTCTTTCAGCAAATACTCACTCAGGCGATTATACCATATTCGCCCTGATTGTTTCAATCCATATAAGGATTTTTGAAGCTTTATTGAACAAGTTTTCCGAAAACTTTTATTAGTTTCAGGAACTTTGAGCCCTTCAGGGATTTTCATATAAATTTCGTTGTCTAATGTGCCATACAAATAGGTTGTGACAACATCCATTAGACGCATATCAAGTTTTTCATGGACTGCCAAATTTATAAGATACCTGAAAGTGATTGCATCCACCACATGAGAATATATCTCCATATAATCAATGCCAGGTCTTTGCAAAAATCCTTGTGCTACAAGTCGTGCTTTATATCTAACGACTTCATTTTTATCATTTCGTTTTCGCACAAAAAATCATTTGTATCCCACTGGCTTTATTCCTTCAGTTGTTCGGACTATACGTCCGAATACTTCTCGTTTTTCAAGTGACGCTAATTCTGCCTGGATAGCGTCTTTCCATTTTTGCCAATCATTTCTCTGTCTACATTCATCAACAGATCTTGGTTCAAGATCCTCATCTTGTTGCATTATTTCAACAGCATCATTATAAGCAAAAATATTGTCGACAATAATATTATTTCGGTTCCACTTTTTTGCCATAGAGACATAACTTATTGAGATCTCTTCATTCTTATTATTTTCAGATACCTGGACCTCCTCTGAGGTCTTATCATTTGTTATGTCACAGGGCTCTTTTTGAGCAATTACCTCTATATTATGATCTCCTAGATTATTTGCTTCTTTTCGCTTTCGAGGATTTTTATCTTTGGAACCAATTGGTCTACCACGTTTCAAGCTTGTCTTAGACTCATTTGTATTTATAGATTGTCCAACCGGGACATCAATTTGAATAGGAGCATTAGCAGCTGGAATATGTGACTTAGTCACCCTTGGTAGGTTAATGAATGCATCAGGTAGTTGATTTGCAATATTTTGCAAATAAATTATCTTTTGAACCTCGTGTTCACATTGATTTATTCGAGGATCTAAATGAAATAGTGATAATGCATTCCAATCTATCTCCTTTTGCAACTACTTATTTTCTCCCCCTAATATTGGGTATACTGATTCATCAAAATGACAATCAGTAAATCTTCCCGTAAATAAATCTCCAGTTATAGATTCCAAATATTTTATAATAGAAGGAGATTCATACACAACATATATCCCCAATCTTCTTTGGGGTCCCATCTTTGTGCGTTGTGGTGGAGCAATTGGAATATATACTGCACATCCAAATATTCTAAGATGGAAAATATTTGGCTCCTGACCAAAAGCCAATTGTATTGGGGAGACTTTATGATAACTTATGGGTCTGATCCGCACAAGAGCTACCGCATGCAAAATAGCATGTCCCCATGCCGAAATGGGAAGTTTTGTTCTCATAAGCATTGGTCTAGCAATTAATTGGAGGCGTTTGATCAATGATTCCGCTAGACCATTTTGAGTATGAACATGAGCAACTGGATGCTCAATTGTTATCCCAGTTGATATGCAATAATCATTAAAGGCCTGGGACGTAAATTCACCAGCATTATCAAGACGAAGTGTCTTAATTGCATAATCTGGAAACTGTGCTCGTAATCTTATTAATTGAGCTAGTAACCTCGCAAAGGCCAAATTGCAGGTTGATAACAAGCACACATGTGACCATCTTGTAGATGCATCTATCAAAATCATATAATATCTGAATGGTCCACATGGAGGGTGTATGGGCCCACATATATCACCCTGTATATGTTCCAAAAATGCAGGAGATTCAACTCCAACTTTAATTACTGATGGTCTAATAATCAGTTTCCTTGAGAACATGCAGCACAAGAGAATTCTTTAGTTTGAAGAATCTTTTGGTTCTTTAATGAATGACCATGTGAATTCTCAATTATTTTGCGCATTATATTATAACCGGGATGGCCCAACCGGTCATGCCAAATAATAAAATCATTAGTAAACTCCTTGTTTACTATGGCATGTGATTCAACTACACTAATATTAGTGTGATATAATCCAGAGGAAAATGCGGGAAGCTTTTCAAGCACATACTTCTTTTTCGCTTTTATTGTAGTAATATAAAGGTATTCGACATTTCCTTCATTGGTGGTCTCAATATGATAGCCATTTTGGCGAATATCTTTGAAACTCAACAAGTTTCTCTGAGACCTACTACAATATAATGCATCATTAACATGCAATATAGTTCCTCCTGGTAGTAATACAGTTGCTCTTCCAGAGCCCTCAATTAATTTTGTATAACCAGATATTATTATGATATTGACTTCTTTCATAATTAAATAAGAGAAATATCTCTTATCTTTTAATATGGTGTGCGTCGTAGCACTATCCAGAAGACATATTTCTTCTTTATTATTCATACGGCCAAATGAAGACTGGAAAGTTTTCATATTCTTCAAAAAAAAATATACATCATAAGTAATATTGAAAAATTTAAGAACAAAAGAAACTACATTTATGAAATTAAATACTAACAACATAAAAAGTTTTATTCAAAATATGAATTTCATAAAAAGAAATACATTTATTCTTATAATTTTTCTCAATAATAAATTTTTAGTTATGATGCTCAAAGAAGTCTCCAGCTTCTAAATGAGTAATATCTGCAAGGACTTCAAAAATATCATCTTTATAGGCAAGGTTTGCTTCAACTTTATCATGATTATTTATAGGGCCCGCCTCAAAATCATTTTGAAAAGTCAAGTGAGTCTCAACTTTATTTTGTTTTCCTTTTATAGATGCTTGATAAAGTTTGACAAAATATTCAGGTGTACGACAAATTTGTGCCCAATGATTTTTCATACCACATCGATGGCAAACATTACCTTTACCTTTTGAAGGATTATTCTGAGAATCCTTATTGTTCTCTTGTTTATAACGACCACCACCATGGCGATTATTATTTCGTCCCTTGCCACGCCCACGTATATTTATACGGCCACGATAGTTATTTTGTCTTTTTTCAGACTTTGGATCTACCGTTCCCAGATTCGCTTTTGGAAATGGAGCTGATCCAGTGGGGCGGGCTTCATAATTTTTTATTAAAAGGGCATTATGTTGTTCAGCCACCAAAAGGCATGAAATTAACTCAGAATATTTCTTAAAGCCCTTTTCATGGTATTGCTGTTGTAACACCATATTTGAGGCATTAAAAGTGAAAAGAGTTTTTTCCAGCATGTCCTCATCATTCATAGGTTCCCCACATAATTTTAGTTGGGAAATTATTCTATATACAGCAGAATTATATTCACTTATGGTCTTATAATCTTGTAGCCGTAAGTGCATCCACTCACGACGAGCTCTTGGCAATACCGTGGCCTTTAGGTGGTCATATCGTTCCTTCAAACTAGTCCATAATTGAAATGGATCTTTCAAGGTTAAATATTCACTTTTTAACCCTTCATCGAGATGATGGCGAAGGAAAATCATGGCTTTCGCCTTATCCTGACTTGATGCTTCATTTCCTTCTTTAATAGTGTCACCAAGACCTTAAGCGTCAAGGTGAATTTCAGCATCAAGTACCCATGGCAAATAGTTATTCCCAGAGATGTCAAGTGCCATAAATTCAAGTTTTGACAAATTCGACATAGTAAAAACTATCATAGATATAAGTGAATTATAATGATAAGAATTATTATCAATTCAGTGCAGTACATAATCGTGTATTAATACTATATATGTAAAATTATCAAACAAACAATTATGTGCAGTGCGATGATAAATTAGTGTTTAATATTACCCACAAAAACTTTAGACATGTAAGTATATTTTCATAGAATAAATAAGTTGAATTAATATGTACTAGTATAATTTTGTTCTACTTAGAATACGTTTAAATAAGTTAAGTAGACATAAAACTAGATGATATCAATTTTGACAAGTTTCAACATTCAATACGATTCATCTAATAGTTCAGTCGTTAATTTTAAAGTCATTAATTAGTTTGTACACTTAAATGATAAATTTATTGGAGACACATTTAAACCTTTTGAAAATTTTGCAAGAATTCCTTCTAAATGCATATTCTGTTAGAATATTTGGATGCGGGCTTAATTAGTCTAATTATTGTAATTCAATTTTAATACTTATTTATTTATGTGTAGGATTAAAGTTCTTCGTAGTTTATATAATGAAATATCAATTTAACCGAAACTTATTATTTTCATACCAATGCAATTATTATAATCATATTCAAAATAAGTTATGCATATAGTAATTAAATTGCAGGTTAAAGAAAGATCCTAGTAGAAATATTATAAACGTAAGAATGTATAGCTGAATCGAAAAAGAAACTGATTACCTCTTTTAGAAAGAAGATAAAATTCGGATGAAGCAGATAACCACAGTTGGTTAGAACCTCGTGCTGATAACGTATTAAGAAATGAGAGCAAAATAGAACAATATACTAACGGAGACAAGATGTATATGAGGAGAATATAGAAGTTATTTTATTCAAGTGTGTTTCTACTATGTACTTCATAGGATAAAGAATACCCTTTTATAGGATATAAGATACATGAAAAGTTATAAAAATACACCTAAAGGTTATAAATATTATGTGATGAATTAACTAAGTACATGAACTCAAATGGTTTATGCAATAGGAATGTCTAAGAGTATTCAATGGACATCCACTTTAACATATTCATAACAAATCTTTTGTTTTTTTATGATACTTCGGACATAATATCAACACTTAAAACTTAAAACTCGGAAAGGAAAAAAAAGTATAAGGTCAAAAGTGCAAGTGAAGTGAAATATAATGACTGAAAGCATAAAAAGGACATATATTTGGACGTTGAAGTTGTCAACCATGAAGTCTTTTGAGTAGAAAAAGAAGTTTGTCCAAAAGTACCAGACCTATAGGCTAAAAGTACCATCTTTTAAGCGTATTTTAGGGGCAAGTCTACATTTGATTCTTTTTCACTATGGCAGAACCATAGAGATCTCCAATATCTATCAGTTAGTAACCTGATTTGCTTCCGCGACTGCTCCCTTCTGCTCCGGCGCTGGCCATGTAAATGTATTACGGTAAACTGTTTGATCATAGAACCGCAATTTCTTTTGGTTGAGAATTGTTTTATTTTTTGTCTTGATAATAAAAAGTTTGGATTTTAATTTTGTTTTTAGCTTGATTTAACTTAAAATTTGGGTTTGGATAATTTTTGGTTGTTGATTTTGAGCATCTCATTATTCCCATAAGGCCGAGTTTCATCATTCAATCAACTATGTCTAAATGTTAAGCTAGTTGTGATTGTTTTCATGAATCTTATATAATTGTTCTGCTCTACTCGGGCTCCTTTTATTTTAATGCTAATAATTTGTTTTATTGAGGTCGGGCTTGATGCTAGGTCCTAAACAGTTGAGTTGAACTGAGCTGGCTAAGGTTTCGGCTTGGGTCAGCTTGTGTGTTTTGCGGCAGCTCTGAAAATGTTGATAGAAGTAGAGGTTCTGCTAAAGATTTTACAGCTCAGTGTAATACAAGCCACTTATAAGACTTGTTTTTACTTTCTCCAAAGATTATAGGTTCAAACTTTAGTAATCAAAAAAAAAAAAAACGAACTGAAGTTTACGGATCTTATTACTTGCTGTAAAGGTTGGGAGAGTGGAAATTTCTGGCTGGGAAAAACTTACCATCAACAGGTGTTTGCAATAATCGTAAATGAATGACATGTGCGACTGTACATCTTGACTTTTTCTAATCGTTAATTACAAATATAATTAGTTAATTATATGTATTCTCACCCTGTTTAGTAATTGATGCTCCTCTTAGAGTTAGTACAAGCACTCATCGAACAATGTGTCTTCACCTTTTTCTTTTGACATTTTTATGGCAAACAATATAATTTTCACCTTGAGGTTTGGTTTTAGGAAAGTAGACATTGTCGGAATGATACCTTAATATGTGATTACCTTGCATAGGACACGTAACATGGCAACCCTTGATTTTATCTTGTTAATCATGTTCTGATAATAGACTAAATGCTTTTGTGCAGGTTGTAGCTCTTCACAAGGGTCAGCTTTTACCTAAAAAATTGCAAGATCAAGGCATAGCGTATTAGAAGTTTTCTGTGAGGGATAACTAAATAAGAAAACGGTTATAACGGTTTTTCTGTTACCTAACTGCTCGATCAATGTTCACCTCTAAAAATTCTAAAAGAGAATAGCTAAATAAAATCAGCTATTACTCATTTCTTCTTAAAGAATCTGAAAATAAAGCTTGCTGTTGAGATTGGAAGCTCATACTTGGCTGCTGTTCCATGGTTAATAAGTCTCCTTCCTGAGTGAATGTTAAGTTAAGTGATTAAAAATGGATAGGGATTTTGGAAAAGGGATGATGGGACAGCAAAATAACTTTGAACAAGCTCGTTATAGCTCTATAGAGACTAGAACAGAGGTCATTGGCTCTTCAAACCAGAGATTTTTCCAGGATTCATGCAGTTCTATCAGTGCAGACATAAGACCACCTGATTTCATTGTACCAGTCGGAGCTAGACCTGTAAACTATTCCTTTCAGACTGGCGAAGAGTTTTCTTTGGAATTTATGCGGGAAAGAGTTAACCCAAAGCAGAACCTCATTCCTCATGGTTCTGGGGGGACTACTGGAATTTCTCATACAGGTTCTGAAAGTGGATCAGATATTTCCATGATTGCCTCAGTTGGAAAAACTCGAGTTCAACATCACCAGAGGTCTAGTACTTCTATAAATGAAGGGATAAGCAACCACCAAGCTGTGCAAACTGGAACTAGAGCCTCATCAAGAAATAACAACGTCCATGGGATTCAAAGCCATATGTCTTCTAGATCTAGTACATCAACAAAGTTGAAGTTTCTGTGCAGTTTTGGTGGTAGAATTATCCCTCGTCCAAGTGATGGGAAACTCAGATATGTTGGAGGTGATACGCACCTCGTCCGTGTAAGCAAGGATATTTCTTGGGAGGAACTCAGGCAAAAGATGTTGACAATATTTAACAATTGTCACACAGTAAAATATCAGCTTCCTGGTGAGGATCTTGATGCATTAGTGTCAGTTTCTTGTGATGAAGACTTGCAGAATATGATAGAGGAATGTAATGTATTAGAAGGTGACGGATCACAAAAATTCCGGATATTTCTCTTTTCTAACAGTGACTTGGAAGATTATCTGGTTGGTCTGGAAAATATTGAAGGAGATTCAGAGATGCAGTACGTTATTGCTGTCAACGGCATGGACTTTGGTTCGAGAAGAAACTCTTTTGCCCTGGCCAGCACTTCAGAAAATAACCTGGATGAGTTTCTGAGTGCAACAATTGCTGGGGTGAATGGTCAAGTTGCTAGGGATCTAGCAGAGGCTGATACTTCAGATCCAGTCATTGGCATGCCTCTAACAAATCAATCTGCTCATGTAGGGGTAGGGGTGTCAATTTCATCACATACCTTCGACTCAAATCAACCAGGATACTTGGGTCAAACTGTATATCATGGTGACACTGAATGGCAACCTTTACCTTCTTCCATACCAGTTGACAGCTTCCGAGGTGTAGATGGCGAAAGCCTGGTTCTTCCATCTATGCAACTGCGGTATAACCATGGTTATCATCCGCCCAATATGCAAGTGCAGTACAACCATGGTTATCATCCACCCAACTCTTCACAAGTCACAGATAACTTTCTTGTAAGTTCGGGCCACGGTTACATGAATTGGAAAGGAGACGTGGCTCTTGGGCAGTCTTATCAGAGCTCGCATATGAATAACTATGAGACACCTGCTACAGTAGTAAATCTGAAAAGAGATAACTCTTCTCGGAAGCTGTTCGAACTTAGTAAAGATCATCGAGAGAAGGAAGTGCTTGAGGAGGGAAAGATAAAGATAGAAAGCTCTTTGCAGAAAATAAATGAGCCTGAAAAAATGTGTCCTTTGGAATGCGAAAGAGTTGTTTCCTCAAACCCACTGGATGATTCCACCTCAAGTCACGTTCCTAGAGTTGAAGTGTCGACCTTCACTGCTGTGGCAGTTGCTGCAAGTTCTGTTACACAATCTAAAATCAATGACAAGATTCAGGAACAAGTGCAGAGTTCGGCATCTCCTGAAGCTGTTCAGGAAGAAAAACTTGATAGGTTTACTGAAGATGGCTTCTCCAGATCTGGTAGAACTTCAAATGCTGGCTATGGTGACTCAGAGACACATCCACTTGATTTTAGCTACGAACAATCATCAATTCCTTCACGGCCTTATCGTTCTGAATGGATACCCAGGGAACAGCCCGGCCTTAATCGTTTATCTAGATCTGATGATTCATCTGCTTCGCAGTTCATAATGACCCATGCGCACTCTGGAGGCACACAGCACATCATAGAATCAGTAGATAAGTTGCACGACGGGAATGTGGCTCCCCAGACAGAGCATGTTATATCTTCTGGAAGATCTTTGTCTGCTAATCAACGTGCTACTGCAGAGAAAGGGGTAAAATTTCAGGAATCTATAGAGTTAAGTGTCAGTGCCACAGAAATTTATACCAAGGGTGCTGGAGAAGTTTCTGAAGCAAATCTCAATAAGCCTGAGCTGAAAGCTGCAACATATGCAGATAAAGTGAAATCTGGACTAGGTGATCATATCATCACAAGCAGTAATGTCCAGGCTGAGTCTGCTTCTGGGCAGACAGAGCTTCATTGGGGTGATGCAGCTGCAAATAGAGCCGAGGGAAATAAAGCAGCAGAGCAAATACAGCCTTTGGCTGTGAAAGAATGTCAGGTTGGAGAAGCAGCTTCCACAGAGAGGCCCTCTGTCACTGTTGGGACAATTGAGCATGGGAGCATTCTTTTTGACATTAATGACCGCTTTCCCCGTGATTTTCTCGCTGATATATTTTCGAAAGCTAAACTTATGGATGCTTCACCAGTGCCTGTTCCACTACACACTGATGGAACTGGTTTGAGCTTGAATATGGAGAACCATGAACCAAAGCACTGGTCCTTTTTTCAAAAGATAGCTCAAGGTGATTTTGGTAGAAGAGATGTCTCTTTGATGGACCAGGATCATCTTAGTATGTCTTCTACCTGTGCAAATGTTGATGATGGGGTGTCTATGGATTCTGGTTATCATCCTTTCCAGCGTGATGGAGCAATGATAGATCATATGGACTCTCAGCTCAATATTGAAGCTGAGTTCCAGCAACCATCACCTGAAATTGTTGGACCAGACACCATGGATTTGCCTTCAGAGTACAAACATTCTCAAACCACTTACGTTCAAAGTATGCTGTATGATGGTGAATTGAGTTCAAAAATACCTGAATCGGGTTATCAGGTACTTTTTAGTAGTTGAGATTTCTAGCAGCATTATTTTGCTTCAATTTGAAATTATTGTTTTTTTAGCATATGGTGAAGTAAATTCTTTTATGTAACATGAAGGATGAGAACCAAGGAGCTCAGAATGCTGGCTTTCCCCCTACCAATCTCTCGCTTGGAGACTTTGATCCTAGCTCCTTGCAGGTACTGTGAACTATTCTATTGGTGGTTGGGTATGAGTTTAAAAGACGCCTGAGATTCAAAAAAAGCACTAAGGCTACTTTTGGATGGAAGTATGTGGAAGGAAGTGAAAGGAGACATTTCTTTTCCTTTCCTACTCTCTACATTCCTTACATCCTATACTAACAAAGTTCCTTTTAAAATAAAAGATTCTATACTTACAAAGTGTATATCGAGTCTATGAATTTTCTTTATGAAGCCAAGATATAGAAAAGCTTTGAGTTTCTACTTCAAGGTCCTGAATATATCTGCACAAGTTTCATGGGACAGCTTATAATTTTTCTGAATCGTTCCATTTTCTAAATCTAAATATATTAAATAGAGAAAGGTTTTGTAATTCTTCTTGATGTTCTGGACTTTGGTACAGATTTTTCTTAGGCCATCCACGCCATATACGGCATCAGTCTGTATTCTGTCTTGTTGATATTGCCAAGTACTAGCCCCTGTACGGCTGTACCTGGGCGAGACTCTGACATCACTTTTTGCCTTTCGCTTTTCTTTTTCTGGT